TTCCCTTCCCTTCCCTTCCCCGGAGGGCCTGGGGCCGCGCGTGGACCCGCGCCCTGAGGGGGTCGGGCTGCCCCGGGCGGGGGCGGGGGCGGCAGCATGGTGGAGAAGCGGTGCCCGCGCCTGCAGAGAGAGAGCGTCTACCGCTGGTTCTCGGAGCTGCCCTCCCCGCAGCGGGTGGAGTTCCTTTGTGGCCTGCTGGACCTGTGCATCCCGCTGGAGCTGCGCTTCCTGGGCGCCTGCCTGGAGGACCTGGCCCGCAAGGACTACCACTCCCTGCGCGACTCGGAGATCAAGGCCAACAACCCGGCCGACCTGGGCAGCCTCACCAACCTGACGGACGAGGTGGTGCGCAGCAAGCTGCTGGTCTCGCTGGCCCTCCTGGGCTCATCCCACCGGGAGGCGGCGGGGGTCCTCTTCCGGACCCTCACCCACATCGACTCGGTCATCCACAACTACGGACTGCAGCTCAACGAGGGCCGGACCGGGGATGAGTTCCTGCTGCTCTTCACCATGGCCTCCAACCACCCTGCCTTCAGCTTCCACCAGAAGCAGGTGCTGAGGCAGGAGCTCACCAAGATCCAGAACCTCATTGCCTGCACCGGCAAGAGCCCCAGCGCCGTCGCGGCCAGCACCGTGGGGACCTGCCCCGGGTGCCACAAGGTGGGTACTGCGTCTTGGGGATGGACGGAGAGAACCGTTTGGCCCTGCTGGGACGTAGCTGGCAAAAACGGACCATGGTTTACTGTGGCTGGCAGTTAATTCTGGCCAAAGATCATCAGGTCTGTCCCAGACTGGACTCTCTTTTCCGTGTTGGTATCTGCAACTCCTTTCTCCGCCTTTGTGCATCTTCCACCTTTCTTTTCTTGTAGAAACGGACATCTTTCAGTCAAGAGTTGCGTCTCTCTTAAATCCTTGGAAGAAGACACAGAAATTTCACACTCTTAGGATATGAAGCTGTTCAGCTGTTGGGCCCAGTGATTGTGCTATTGACATTGGCCCAAGGAGCTGATTCTGTCTTTATTCTGGGCTAATACAGGTGGGGGAGGGGAGAGGCTTTTGTTTATTTTTTAAAGAGCAACCTGGTCTTGTGAAACTGAGTTAGTAACAAAGAATTGGGGCTGGACAGATGTTTTGGCCAAAATCAATGACACTTGTATTTCAAACTGTTTAACAACTTGTGGTAACCAATTGAAAGTTTGCAATGTGGACCTGCTAAAGTTAATTTCCTGCAGGGATCTTTCAGTAGTGTGTATATTTGAAATATTGTCCTAAATGTAAAACTTTGAATAAGTCTGTTTTTTTTTTTTTTAATTTGTACGGGTTTTTGGTCTCTCATAATTTGTTTTTGGTGTTTCAAAATATCTGGGATCAGTAAGCAGAGATGAGTGGTTTTAAAATTGCTGATGCAGAGGTATAATTCAAGAAGGAAGGAACTTGTACAGTTGTTTGATTCCTCAGAAGTGGCTTGAGGCAAGCGTGTTGCTCTTGTCATTGCGGTCTCCTGATGTCAGCCTGGCAGCTCTGTATAAGCCCTGTAGGTACTCTTAAGAATACTACTGTATTTGCACTATACAAATTTGAACCCAATCTTCACAATCTTGTTTCCAGACAGATGTGGCGGATTTTTTCCCCCAAAGGCTGTTTAAGCTGAAGATATAAGAGTAAAGAACAATGCAACCAGGCCATGGTTAAGATGGGGAACATTGATCTAGTATGAATAGGCTAATTTTGATGGTACTGGTAGTACATTTTATTTTCATGTATTTCAACAAACAGAGCCCAGTGTGCCTTAATTGTGGACATTTTTGTTACAATCCTGTGTTCCAAAGAATAAAGCCCCAGTGCTTAGAATAAACTCTCAAAACTTAATACCAGTAGGCAATTTCTCATTTCTAAAACAAAAACACAGGATTAAATATCAATTTACATAAGCAACTGAATCAGCCAACAATACCTCAAATGCTGTCAGATATAAAAACCTGTTTGTATACTTATTTAATGCTGTTTGTAAGCATCTGCATGCCAGCTTCATGTATTTCTATGACAATCTAGTATGGGGATTAAAATTTATCTTCAAGCTTTGCCAAATTCAAGCATTTTATACAAGAACTGGGACTTGCAGGAGCAGCCAGAAAATTCACTGAGATGAACTCTGGGTTTTAAAGGGGAATCCCTAAGTACTATGCAGTCTTTTTGAACAAAGATTGCCCTGTAGGCATTGTGTAAAACAACATCTAATGTATTCACACACTGATTAACTCATGACTAAATCAAAAACATGATTCTTCATACCATACAAATGCATACAATAGGGCTTTGTACTACGAATTATTTTATGTCAGTATTCATTTCTGGTTTTAAAAGACCTTTATGAGACTCATCCTGAATCATAACAAACTAAAAAGATAGCATTACTTTCCCAACTTGCATTAACTTAATTAAGGAGAGAGGGAGACAGATCACCTACTTCTTAAGGGTTTGCTATGGAACAAATTTAAAGTTTACCCAAGCTCATTGTCAAGAGCTGAATTAAACAGCAGTTTTTGAAAATATATTTTCTGATAACTTTGGCAGCTATCTAATCAATTAAAAGTTTGCATATTAATGAAAAGAAGAATGAAGAAAAATCCATGATAAGACTTGAGGAAAAACAGGCTAATCCAAAGAAAAGGGTTGCATGCAGGACACTCATGGTTAATTTGGTTACATTATCCCACTATTAACAGGTCCTAAACTTGAAATCCTCAAAAGAAAAAAAAAAGATGAGTCCAAATAATGTTTGGGATATTAGGAGAAAGCAGGCTGAGTAAACACACTTGACAAGCGTCCTTCCTCACTAATCCTTCATAAGTTTTGCCCTTTTTTCTCTAGCTTCCTTTAGGTTTGGTAGTGTTATGTCAAGGCTAGCAGATACTGTAACTGATTTGATTAGTTTGCAAAACCATTATCCAAATCTGAGTAGGTTTATTCATAATGCTGAAGAGAGACAGTAATGCTATATGGAGTTGAAATTAAATGATTGGAGGGTGGATTATTATGAATAATATAATCCTTGATATGATACATTTTTGTGTATTAACTTTGAAGCCCAGCACAATAACCCTTACCCCAAATAACCTTGTAGCTTAAGTTCTTTTGTAGCAAATCTCATACTTACCTCCTTTTATTTAATGTTAAAAACCTATAGAGTCCCTACTAACTACCAGATTGTAAATTCCAATTTCTGCATGATTGATGGACACATACATCGTTTAGAATAAAGTTGGTTTCCACTTTCAGTTAGTTAGCCATTGCAAGTATATTTTGTAGAAAGCCAAGGCTTGGATGATTTTAAAAAATCTGTTTATAGTGGCAATAGAATCACGTATGTGTTGGAAATAAGCTGTTTGCCTTGGGCATTATAGTATAGTAATGGTGAATGGCCAGATGCAGCTCTTTGCATGTACCCCTTGGCTCAGGGATGGGGGGAGATGATGTGCTTGATACTGTATGGAAGGCATTTGATCTTGGCCAAAAGGAGTTGGCAAGAAGGCTTAGATGTTGAACACAACCTGAGGCCAATTTTCAAGCATAGATTAGGTCATCTAGGGATCCTAACATAGGCTGACTGGCTCTGTTACAGAGGAAGTGAGGTGTAGAGGACCTCTTTCGCTAATAATCTGTTAAAAAAAGGAAACCACCTAGTAAAAGTATTTGGAGCATGTTGGGTTAAAGGAAGGCCTCAGAAATCACGACTGATGCTATAAACAACACGAAACCACCTAGTAAAAGTATTTGGAGCATGTTGGGTTAAAGGAAGGCCTCAGAAATCACGACTGATGCTATAAACAACACGAAACCACCTAGTAAAAGTATTTGGAGCATGTTGGGTTAAAGGAAGGCCTCAGAAATCACGACTGATGCTATAAACAACACTTCTGTTGCATTTCCTTCTGAGGAAATTCAACCACATGTTGAATCAGAGGCTATTGACTCAGCAGAAGAAGTTCTTAGATAGCCGTAGTCAGCCCCAAGTAGAACAGCAGTCGATATCTCAAGTGCAGCACTTGGAACGACTTAGTGCTTTTGGTCTATGTCTGTGTATTTGATAAAAGTCAGTTGCCATATTACTAAGTTGGTGAAGACTATGAGACCAGGGCAAGATTTAAGTGTTTTCAAATAAAATGACATGTTGAGGAAGTGAGGTTTACCTTGGGAGCATGTCTACAATACACAGCAGATTGTTATGCTTTGGGATTATTTTTAATAGAAAGCAAATTAACATAGACATAAAATAAATATGAGCATTAACATTCTGTAATAAGATTTGGGGCCTAAAGATGGTTTCCAAAAGATAGCAGGTTGAAAATATGCATGCTGTTTTAAAAATAACTGGACTTTAAGAATATTTTTAGCTTGCGTAAGCCAAATTGACTGGTTTGTTTCTTGTAATTTTTCTCTTACCTAGGTCGCGCCAAGATCTGAGACCCCCATAAACAGTGTCGGTAACAGTTTAGAAAATGCACTACATACATCAGCACATTCCATTGAGGAGTCATTACCTAAGAGGCCTTCAGGGAAACACTCCAAAGGTACGTCTCGGAGTTTTGCCGAATATTCCTATTTGTGAGAAAAATAGGACAGCTTAAAGCTGATAGCTTAAAAATTGCTTATGAATTGATGAAGGAAGATCCTGTTTTTAATATTTAAAAATAATTATGGGTTACTGTAGGACTAAAAGAAAGTTCATTATCAGTTATGATAGCCTTTGAATTTGAAGGTTCTGTTTAATGGATTGGAGTAATTTATTACATGTGAGTTTCACTCATTTCCCCTTTTGCCTTCAGAAGATACACGTTATATAATCATATATAATATGTTTTCTGTAAGTAGTATTACTGACAAGCTGTATGACCTGCTATAGTTATACCACACCACAAGAAAATACTTGAATGGCAACTGCTAGACTTGCCACTCTAACTCACGTGTGCAATGCAGAGCCCTGTTGTGTTGACTTTCCAGTGCTTAAAAGAGTGTTTCTTTCCACTGCTGTAGTTCTTTTGTTGTTATGTTGGTTCATCTATTCAGGATTGGTCTGTCCTGTTGTGCTGAGATCTGACATTTCATTAAGCAAGCTTTATTGCTTGGACTTAAAAAGGCATTGAGAGTGTTAGAATTCAGTCTGGCATGGTAGTCTACAAAGGCTTTTGAAACAATATCTTAGAATATTTTGGAACCTCCAGATAAGAATGTTCCATGTATACAATCTAATTCAAATAAAGGGATTCATATATTAGCTGGAGCAATCACTTGCAACAGAAAGCCTTGCCTGGTTTTACTGTAGAAACAGATAATACAGTATACTGTTTTTTTTGCTAGTGAGATATATTGATACAATGCTTCCTAAATCACATTTTGAAACAAACAAAAAATCATTCTGACAGTTTATTATTGATGACTGGGGAGTTTAGTGTGGGCTGATGTTCAAATTCTGACATTTATCTGGAATATTGAAGTAACATCCAAAAATATTGAAAACTATCCAGACCTGTTAATCATGTGCAAAACACAACTAGAATCTTGCTCTGACAATAATCTAAAGAATCTTCAGTGTTATAAATAGCTTCCTTGGATCTTGCTCCTAAGATGATACATAAAATCTAGTTCAGTATTTGATAAACTATGGACATTCAGCTCTGATTGTTTTCAGTTTCCCTGAAAACAATGCCCCTAAATGAAAAGATCACAATTATTTATCCTTAGCTCTTGTACAAACAACCAGGATAGCAAGTCATATTTCATTCTCTGTGCAGCATGCCTCTTTAGAACTTTACCAGATGTCTTGACCACAGCATATTTTCCAAAAGCATAGTGTGGGATAAAATACATTAAACCAGATGTTGAAATGAACTCTGCACTCCATAAACTCTTACAATAGTTTAGTGAAATGGCAAATCCATATGGAAGTATCCTTATGACTATCTTATTGTGTAAAGCTCCAATGACTTTTCCAAGGTGTATCTAAGAAGAGTATGTTCTCATGGAGAAACTGTAGTGCTTCCAAAATCACAGCGATAAAGAAACCTGGAATTTTGTTTAAGGTAGCACATGTGGTTTTCTGCCCATTAAAATCTTTCCCCAGTGTTAACACTGTGTAGAGAAAAAGACTCATTGATGAGGCTTGTATCTTTTGATCAAAGTAATAAGCTACTTTCCTGCATTGGTTTATTACATTTTAAATAGATGGAAGAATGTGAGCAACTGATACTGGCGGTAATTTACAAAATAGCAGTTCTGTTGCTGGGACATGTTTACTGTGTTTGCTTATTTATACATCTGTTTCCCCATTATGATTTGTTCTAAAATTTTGAAAGCAAAACATCTTGGATTAAATAAAATAATATATACACAGTAATTACAAAAACTGTACAGATTGGAACTGCTTACTTATGGAGGGAAAAAGACATTTGTTTCTGCTTTGGAAGTTTTGAGATGATTTGGAGATGATGCCCATAATCCAGTGAAGATACATGCATTTAAACTTAGAGGAGATCAAAAGTAGTTTTATTTAGTGTGCACTTACAACAAAATGCAGTATAGTGTGAGAAACCACTCATTGGTTTATAGATCCCAAGACTGGATTCAGGTGTCATGCCAAGCTGTGGTTGATTTCATTGCAGCTCATTGAATAAACCATAATCATAGCCCTGCAATATTAATAAATGTTCTTGTAGTTGCTGCAGCTTTTCCAAAATTAAAAACTCATTTAATTCATTACAGTAGCTAATTGTACAGTGCCAAATTGTGAAGGATTATTAGAACAAGTTGTGTTGAGAAGACTTTGAATTGACTAGTACCTATAATATGCAGATTTTAAAATTCATAAGGAATCATCCAGGAAATCTGGAAATGTGTTAAAAATAAATAAATTTGTTTACTCCTCAGAAAAGAGAACAAAAACTAATAATATTTCAAACATTTTACAATGCCTTTCACCCATATGATTCAAAATGATGCAGAATTAGTATCTGTAAGCAAACTTATTGGCTGCTGTTACTTTGATGTCAACCTGTGGATATGTGTGCATTATGCTGCTTACACACAGCAGATGTCTGGAGTGCTTCCATTGAGATCAGCTGAATTAATTTCAAGTAAATGAGATAGTAGGCTTACAATAAAACTGAATGTTAAACTTGAGCATTGGGTTACTATGACTGCACTTTTAAAATGTGAACATGGGTGTTGTTTGCTGAGTAATTCTGTTTTTAATAAGATCAGTATTCATTATTATCACTGTAGCTGAATATAACGTTGACTGTTAATATCTTTTGGACTAAGGTAACAACATATTCTTGCAGCTCTTCTCCTAAGGGCATGTCTTTTGCAGTGAAATTTACCACCATGTGTCATTAGATGAAGAAGGCAGTAAAGTGGCTTGTTTAGCTGAATTGGAATTGAGCAACAGCTGTAATCAACTACTTCCCCAACTGGAAACCATTTTTGATTTTGCAGCTATATCCTAAAACAGCATTTTGTTTTTTTCTAAAAAAGAAAAAAAGAAATGGAAGAAAAGACCAAGCAGAAAATACAGAGCTGTTTTTCCTCTGCAACTGCTTGTGTTACACTTCTTAGGAAAGACCATTGATTTATTGCATTACCTCACTGCATTGAGCATATCCATTTCATCAGTGTATCATGCTTATGCTATTTTTAACAATAAGGTGAAGGGACAGTACTGATGAAATTACATTATTTTGATACCCTGCTGAAAGAGAGGGGTATGATCACAAAGATTGCAAGAATCCCTCTATGACTGTTGAACTATTTACGTTTATATGTAATTTTCAGATTGTGATTGGATAAGGCTACTGATTAAAGATTTCTTCTGGAAAGCCATTTATTAGGAATAGTTATATTGTATTTTGATAAGGGTAGGTGAGTTCCATAAAATAGGTATAATCTGTGGGAGGATATTATGAGACCAAACTGCTGATGTTCATTTTGCTTAATATCCATGGTTGTTTTTTAAGGAGGGAAGGCTGCTACCAGGACAGTGTAGCATCCATTAGATTTCTAGAAGTAAAGAACCACTGCTTGATGGGAGATGTGAATTACTTTGAGATTGAAGCAGTAATGCTTTTAGACTGAAAGAGATGGTAATTCATTATTTCAGGCCATTGCTTGCCCACAAACGGAGACGTGGACTTCGTTGTACTTAACCCCTAAGAAATATTTGTTGTTTAGTTCTGCTTCTAGTTACTGAAGCTCTTTTGAGTATAAATTCTGCCCCAGTCTCTGAATGCGTATAATTAGTCGTTTTTTGTGGGGTTGTTGTTGTTAAGATCGGAATTAATGTATATAGTTTAAAATTGGCTAAAAGAGGAATATTAATGGGAAAAAAAGCAGTTTTGAACAGTAGGCTAAATAGTAAGCAGAAGTGATTTAGGGGTTGAAATTCTTTTTTAAAAAGCCATGTTCATTTGAAATGCATGAAAACCCTATCTTCTTTTCACGGTTTTAATTTTGTGATACTAACACAATTTGTTTCTGAATTTTAAAAAGATTACCGCTTCAGGCACTGACCCTATTCTGCATAATATTGTTGTACCAGACTGTCATCCAATCTCCTGGATGTGGTATCTTCTCTAAGACTTGCCAGTCCATCTTCATTGACTGTCATAGACCAAAGTAACAATACAGTAATGTTAAGAGTTATCATGCATTAGAACCATGAGCACTGTTCAAACAACAGACGTTTAGTGCCTGAGTGAAATAAGAGATAATGACAGATGACAAAGATGTTAAATAGGCCATTCTTAACCTACCCTAGATTATAAGAAAGTTGCTGTTAACTGCTGGTGTTATTCTGCCAGCTCTGGTTGTGAACTTATCTATTTTTGTAGTTATTCTTGAATTATGATCAAATAAAAGGTGTGAAACATAGAATTCATCAGTCCAAATGGGAAGTTTGCATAGGGGGCATTACATTTGTTTATCTTAGGTACATTCAGTAGTGTATATAAAAAGAAAGCAATATAGAGGGACATGGACCAAAGAATCTACTACTCCAGCTCCACAAGAGATCATAAGGGGTCTGCCTTCTAGGACAGATTTACATAATATATCAAAACCCAGTACTGTAAAGGTTCTGCAATATATAGAGATCATAAGTTGATGTGCCAAAGCATTTTTTAAACTTCCTAATGCTGTAAAGGTAGAGATTTTGTCATGTTCATTTTGAGGTCCACATCCAAGACCTTTAAACTAAGTTCTACTCTGGCTCATTCATACTGTAGTTCAAAGACAGCAGTGGTTGTGGGGGGAGCTCCCACTGCAACAATTTAGCTACTAATTCAGGAGGATGAAATTGGAGGGCCCAACCATGTAAGTAGAAATGTATTTTTAGCCAGGAGCTAAAGGTGATAAACCAGCCTGTTTAAGCCAGACGTGCTGTATTGTGGAGTGCCATGTTTGAGACACACTGGGCCTTCTGAAACAATTTCCTTAGAATGGCTTCAACAGTAGCAGAATTAATACCTGCATTTAATTGGATCCCTAGAGGAATGGAACTAGTACCTTGGCTTCAGATAGT